TATAATACTTACCAACTATGAAATAAAAAATAAAATTATTTAATTAGATGATGTTTTAATAAAGTTTATTTTGTGTTCTAAAAGTTAATTTATATTATAATACTTACTCTCTATGAAATAAAAAATAAATTTATTTAATTAGATGATGTTTTAATAGTTTATTTTGTGTTGCCAAAGTTAATTTATAATATAATACTTACTCTCTATGAAATAAAAAATAAAATTATTTAATTAAATGATTTTTTAATAAAGTTTATTTTTTGTTATAAAAGTTAATTTATAATATAATACTTACTCTCTATGGAATAAAAAAAAAATTTATTTAATTAGATGGTGTTTTTAATAAAGTTTATTTTGTGTTATAAAAGTTAATTTATAATATAATACTTACCAACTATGAAATAAAAAATAAAATTATTTAATTAGACGATGTTTTAATAAAGTTTATTTTGTGTTGTAAAAGTTAATTTATAATATAATACTTACCATCTATGAAATAAAAATAAAATTATTTAATTAAATGGTGTTTTAATAAAGTATATTTTGTGTTCTAAAAGTTAATTTATATTATAATACTTACACTCTATGAAATAAAAAATAAAATTATTTAATTAAATGATGACTTAATAAAGTTTATTTTGTGTTGTAAAAGTTAATTTATAATATAATACTTACCAGCTATGAAATAAAAAATAAATTTATTTAATTAGATGATGTTTAATAAAATTTATTTTGTGCTGCAAAAGCTAATTTATAATATAGTACTTACGAGCTATGAAATAAAAAATAAATTTATTTAATTGGATGATGTTTTAGTAAAGTTTATTTTGTGTTGTAAAAGTTAATTTATAATATAATATTTACCATCTATGAAATAAAAAAATAAATTGATGATGTCTTAATAAATTTATTTTGTGCTGTAAAAATTAATTTATAATATAATATTTACCATCTATGAAATAAAAAATAAAAAATATTTAATTAGATGATGTTTTAATAAAGTTTATTTTGTGTTGTAAAAGTTAATTTATAATATAATACTTACC